CTGCCTGCCGCTCAACATCCCTCCCCCCACCCCGCCCTGCCGCCCTGCCGCAGCTGTCTGCCAGCCAGCGCAGCATGCGGCTGTGCGGCATGCAAGAGGGCGGCCCCCCCACCGCGGTGTGTACCGTGGTGTACCGCGTGCTGGTACCGCAGCTGCCCGCCGCGCTGGCGCCGCCCGCCCTGCTGGCAGCTGCCGGCTGGCTCCTGTACGCCGCCGCGTGGCTGCTGTACCTCACAGCCCCCGTCACCGTACCGCTGGCCCTCTGGCTGCTGTTCTCAGCAGACGGCGGCGGGCTGGCGCTTGCGCCCGGCGCGGTGGCGGCGGCGGCGCGCCTGCACCCGGCCGCGGGCGCCGCCGCCCAGCAGCTGGCCGCCGCCGCCGCCGCCGCGCCGCACCTGCCGCTGCCGGCGGCGGCCGCCGCCACCGCGGCGCTGCTGCTGGCGCTGCGCTGGGCCGAGGCGACGGTGGTGCGGCGACGGCGGCAGCGGTGGGAGGCGCGGCTGCGCCGCGTCACGGCGGCGGACGTGCAGGCGCGGTACGCGGGGTGGCGGCCGCCGCGCGACGGCGCCGGGGAGGGCGCCGCCGCGGCCGCCGCCGCCGCCGCCGCCGCGGAGGAGCAGCAGCGGCGCCAGCTGCTGGCGCTGCTGCGGGGCGAGGTGTGCAGCCTCTGGCACAGCGTGTTTGATGCCCAGGCGCCGCCGGAGCAGCTGCAGAGCCTGGCAGGTTTGTGTGTGTGGCGGCGGCAGGGCGGGGGCGGGGCGGGCTGGTGGGGGCTGCACGCTCCTGCTTGCCTCAGGCTGTGGGATGCGGGTGGGGCGGCCATCGGCCTCTGTATGTGCCACACCCTACACCGCCTTCCCCTTGCTTGGGTGTTCCTGCCTTCTCCCCACGGAGCCCTGCAAACGCGTGCGGCAGCGGCTGCTGCTCGCGCCTCCCCGCCACCCCGCCGCCCGCGCGCGCACCGACGCGTGCCCGCCCGCCCGCCGCCGCCGCCTGCAGGCATCTCTGAGGCCGTGGGCCGGCTGTGCGCCGAGACGGGGGTGGCGGCGCCCGCGGGCGCGGAGGGCGGCGCCCCTCGCCAGCTGCTGGATGCCCTGCAGCGCATCAAGCGGGACGTGGGCGTGGAGTGAGGCGGTACCATGCCGCGTCGTGGTGTGCGGTACCGCATGGCTTGTGGGCCGGCGCCCAGCCGGCACCTGGCCAGCACCTGCCACCCGCCCTTGCAATCGCCCCTGATGAAACGACGCGCCTCCTGCCCTGCTCGGTTGCTTCCTCTCCGCCTGTGCTGTCGTGTCTCTGGGGAGTTGCTGCCAGCGTGCTTAGGCTGCCTCCCATGCCGCCCATGCGTTTGTGTCAGATAGCTTGTTGATGTGAACATGCACCCAGATCGCTGCATTCTGGCCGCGGTCGCAGCGCTCGCCAATCTCCTGTAACGCACGCGCCATAAGAATTACAGCAGCATGCCGGAGCGTGTGTCGCTACCTCTGCCGCTGCGCCAGCGCCCTCCTCCCTCCCCCGCAACACGCCTCGCCAGCACAAGTTGCAGGTTTACACAAGCGGTGTGGGCCATGGCACGGCACCTGGCAGCCCCTCAAAACGCAGCAGCAGCGTCCTGGCGCCGGCGCCGCGAGTGCAGCAGCGGCGCCTGTGCTGCCTGCAGCGCCGCCGCCTGCTCGCCGCCCGCCGCCTCCTCCACCTCGTGCTCCTCAGACGACGAACCCCGCAGCTGGAGGCGCTGCTGCAGGGCCAGCACGCCTGTGGGCGCGTCTGAGGCCGGCGCCCCCTGCTGCTGCTCCTGCTGCTGCTTGGAAGCTGCCACCACTGCTCCAGCAACGGGTGGCTCCCGCCGACGCTTTGGTGCCGATTCCTCCGGCTGCCGCTGCTCGCGTGCACGCAACAGGCCTACCCTGCGGTACTCTTCGGCGATCTCTTGGCCGTGCCTTCTCAGTATGTCCTCCCTGGCCTCAGCCTGCAGGCAGCAGGCGGGTAAGGCGCAGGTACATCCACTCAGGATTGTGCACCCACACAAAGGCATGCGGGTGGGAAGCCAGCGGGATGGAGAGAGCAGGCTCGACACGCTGCAAAGGCAAGCCGTGCACGCATGCCCACAGAGCAGCGCCTGGTATCTCCAGTCCTGTCCTGCACAGCAGCCGCCCCACATGCGTGCAGGCCCGCCATAAACAAACATGTTGTTGAGGAATCAAGCACCAGCCGACTCACCGCTTCCAGATTTCTGTGGCAGGCCGCACACAGGTCCATGGCCGGCACACGCCGCATCTCCTGCACCACCCCCTCAGGGAGCTCCAGGCGTGACAGCGCCACAAGCCTGGCTGGGCGCCGCTCCAGGAACGCGCTCAGCTCCTCTTGCGCCTGCCGCTGCCGCGTGCGGTAATATTTTGCTCGCGCCGCGTAGGAGGCAGCCATGCGCTCGTTTGCGAGGCTGCCACCCAAACAGCAGGTTGCAGTGACCTGCCAGAGAGGACAATTGGCCTCCAGGGTGCTTGCTCGAGTCTGCAAAGAAGAGGGAAGATGGACACAGGGCGATCATGCGCTGCTTGTGACACTCCTGCGGGCGGGCTCTTCGGTAGCGGGGCGGCGACGGCAGCCGCCCAAACCATCCTTTTCGCACCTCGCACTCCTCAATGCCGAGCCGCAGCTCCTGAATGCGCAGCTGGACCACGCGCTCTGGGTCCCGCTGCTCTGGCGGCTTCGCCCGCTCCTCGAGGAACTCTCGACGCACGCTCGCTCGCAATTCATGGTGCTCAACTGTACCAGGCGCGGCTGCACGCGGCTGGGCTGCAAACAGGCCGGCCAGGCCGCTGTACACGTTTGCCAGCCACTGCATCGCGCAGGCGAGGGCTGGGCGAAGGCTGGGCTAGCTCCGCTGGGGGGATTTGTGCAAGAGGGCGCGAATAAGGGCCTAATAGCCCCTGCATGGGCGTGCTGTGCTGGCAGGCGCAGCCCGCCGCCGCCTGCCCGCCTCCCCCAGGACGGGACCTGCCCCTGCTTGCCCACCTGTTTTGTGTGGACACCAGCAATGGCAGAAACTGTCCATGTGGATCAATGAGCTGTGTACAGTCAGATTGAATGCCAAGGTGGCAGTGCATGCTGCGAGCGCTGCCGGGTCAACATCACCCAGCCCCCACTGGCCACTGGCACTGGCACAGCCATCCATTGCCCCTATCAGTGGCCCTCTGCCCTCACAGAAGCACAGCCGCTCTCTGCAGCCCCCACGATCGCCCATCACGTCCAGGACTGCCACCCCGAGGCTGACCCGACTGGTAAGCTCTGGCTGGAGGGCCAGGAGGGCTGCAAGAGTGCTATGAAGAGGCTGCTGCAGCCTGCGAGGTTGCTGGGCAGGAAGGCTCGCCCCGGCTCCCCTCGCTGGCTGCCTTGGAAAGCGGTTGCAGCTGCGTTTAATTCGAGGGAGGCGGCTCAGTGCCCAGGCGTGGCATGGCGGGGGCTGCTGTGGGTAGGCGGTGGGCGCCACCGCCGGGGCGTTTTCCCGCCGCCAACGTCGTTAAGCACGCTGTGCCTTCTCCACCCCCCAAAAGGGCCATGACTATGCCATCCCCTGCAGACCGGCATGGCGCACTTTAACGAAATGCAGATGGGCGTTGCTGACGGTGAGCAGTCTCAGCCGGCTTCAATAGCCGTGTCTATTCTTGGTGGTGATGATCCTCCATTGGGAGAGCAGCTGCCGCAGCCGCTGGCCGTGCGGCTGCTCAGGCAGCCACAGCTGCACCTCCTAGCAGCCTTCTTCGGGATGGTTCTGGGCCTGGAGTTCGGGCTGCACCTCACCGACGCGTGCAGCCTTGATGGGGCCGCAGCCCCAGCTGCAGCCGGCGCCGGCGAGCTGGGTCCAGCCCCCCTATGGCTGCTGGTGTGTGGCGGCAGCGGCGCGGGGGCAGCAGAGCTCACGTTTGTTGTGCTCCTGCTAACCTACATGCCTGGCACCGTGCGGCCGGGGATGCTGCGCCGTTGCTTTGCCTCGGCGCTGTTCGTGCTGCTGCAAGCGGCCAGGCACGCTGGCTGCGCTGCATACTGCGGCCTCAAAGTCTGGGTGCTGCTCGTTTATGTTGCCGAGTTTCTGCTGGCAGGCAAGTGGCAGGGAAGTGGCATGCATGCTTGGTCTGCACGTACCTGCATCTGGATGCTGGCTGCAGGCCAACCATGACACGCTGTGTTGATGCCAGTGCAGGCATGGCATCCTGGTGGGCGGCAGAGTTCCTGGCTGCAGCAGCAGCCGGTGGGTTCTGGGGCATCACCCTGGTGCTGACGCTCACGCCGTTTGACGGCAATGAGTGGCTGGCGGCGGGCGTGATTGTGGCAGGCGCGGGGCTGTCCTGGAGCATTTGGCTCTCCAACGGCACCGTCGATGCGGTGGCTGCACCGGGGTCGGCGCTGCTCGGTGAGGGCGCCGACGTTTCGCCGCCGCCGTCTGCCAGTGGACGTGGGTCCCATGCGTCAGCCTGCGCTGCCACCCACCCGGTGCTGCCACGCAGGCTCCCTCACCCCTTGTGCAAACGCTCTGCTGCAGGCGAGGTATGGTCTGGCCTAGACCGTGTGTTCAGGATGGAGCGGCAAGCCGCTTCCCAGCCAGCCACACCGCCCTCTCCACCGCTGGACCACCAGCAGCCCTGAGGGCAGGCAGTGCAGCCTGCACTGAGCTTCGCTGGAACCCGCAACCGCTTCTCCACTCCTGACCAGCTCGTTTTGACGGATGTCTTCAGACATGCTGCATGGTTTCCTGCTGTTCTCCCCATCCTCCATGCCCTGGGATCATCGCCAATATTGACATTCCAACAGCATGTGACAGACCCGCGATCTCATCAGCATGCCAATGCATCCCGTGACACACCCCTGTGCTACCAGGCAGCGTTACCATATCCCGGCCGCTGCGCCAGCGCCCTCCTCCCTCCCTCGCAACACGCCTCGCCAGCACAAGTTGCAGGGTTTACACAAGCGGTGTGGGCCATGGCACGGCACCTGGCAGCCCCTCAAAACGCACCAGCAGCGTCCTGGCGCCGGCGCCGCGAGTGCAGCAGCGGCGCCTGTGCTGCCTGCAGCGCAGCCACTTGCTCGCCGCCCGCCGCCGCCTGCTCGCCGCCAGCCGCCTCCTCCACCTCGTGCTCCTCCGACGACGACCCGCGCAGCTGGAGGCGCTGCTGCATGTCCAGCACGCCTGTGGGCGTGTCTGAGGCCGGCGCCCCCTGCTGCTGCTCCTGCTGCTGCTGCTGCTGTTTGGGCGCCGGCGCCACTGCTCCTACAACGGGTGGCTCCTGCTGTTGTTGTGGTACCACCGGGGCTGCTGTTGTGCCTGCCTGCTGCTCACGCAGCAGGCCTACCCTGCGGTAATCGTCGGCGAGGTCTTGCCCCCACTTTATCAGTAGCTCCTCCCTGGCTTCAGCCTGCAGGAAGAAGGCGGGCGTGGCACAAGTACCGTACTTGTTACAGCCACATCAGGATGGTGCACCCACACAAAGGCATGAGGGTGAGAAGCCAGCTGGATGGAGAGAGCAGGCTGGACACGCTGCAAACGCAGGCAATGCACGCATGCGTTTGCCACACAGCAGCACCTGTCTGTCGCCAGTGCTGCCAGCACAGCAGCCGCCCCATGTGCTAGCAGGCTCGCCACACACAAACACGTGCTGTGCACACGTGTACGCGTCGTATGAACAAGCACCCCAGGGCACTCACCGCTTCCAGTTTTCTGTGGCAGGCCGCACACAGGTCCATGGCCGGCACACGCCGCATCTCCTGCACCACCCTCTCAGGGAGCTCCAGGCGTGACAGCGCCACAACCCTGGCTGGGCGCCGCTCCAGGGCCGCGCTCAGCTCCTCTCGCGCCTGCTGCAGCCGTGTGCGGTAGAATTTAGCTCGGGCCGCGCACGAGGCAGCGATGCGCCGGTTTGCACGGCTGCCGCCCAAACAGCAGGTTGCGGTGACCTGCCAGCGCAAACAATGGTCCTCCAGGGTGCTTGCTCGAATCTGCAAAGAAGAGGGAAGATGGGCACCTCAGTTTTGGGAAGCGCGGTAGCGGTGGCGGTGGTGGCGGCGGCAAGACGGCAGCCACTCAAACCATCCGCTTAGCACCTCGCAGTCCTCAATGCCGAGCCGCAGCTCCTGGATGCGCAGCTGGAGCGCGCGCTCCACGTCTCGCTGTTCTGGCGGTTTCGCTCGCTCCGCTAGGAACTCTCGACGCACTTGCACCCGCAATTCCAGGTGCTCATTTGTGCCGGGTGCGGGTGCTCGTGGCTGGGCTGCAAACAGGCCGGCCAGGCCGCTGCACACGTTTGCCAGCCACTGCATCGGGCAGGCGAGGGCTGGGGGAAGGCTGGGCTAGCTCCGCTGGGGGGATTTGTGCAAGAGGGCGCGAATAAGGGCCTAATAGCCCCTGCATGGGCGTGCTGTGCTGGCAGGCGCAGCCCGCCGCCGCCTGCCCGCCTCCCCCAGGACGGGACCTGCCCCTGCTTGCCCACCTGTTTTGTGTGGACACCAGCAATGGCAGAAACTGTCCATGTGGAACAATGAGCTGTGTACAGTCAGACTGAGCGTCACAGTAACAGTGCATGCTGCGAGCGCTGCCGGGCCAGTCTGACACAGCCCCAACTGGCACTGGCACATCCATCCATTGCCTCTATCAGAGGCCCTCTGCCCTCACAGAAGCACAGCCGCTCTCTGCAGCCCCCACGATCGCCCATCACGTCCAGGACTGCCACCCCGAGGCTGACCCAACTGGTAAGCTCGGGCTGGAGGGCCAGGAGGGCTGCGTGAGTGCTATGAAGAGGCTGCTGTAGCCTGCGAGGTTGCTGGGCAGGAAGGCTCGCCCCGGCTCCCCTCGCTGGCTGCCTTGGAAAGCGGTTGCAGCTATGTGTCATTCGAGGGAGGCGGCTCAGGTCCCAGGCGTGGCATGGCGGGGGCTGCTGGGGGTGCACCACGTGGGCGCTGGGCACCGGCTGCGGGGCGTTTTCCCGCCGCCAACGCCGCATGTAACCTGATCTGCTCCAGCCCTTCAGACTCCAGACTGCCTATGCCATCCGCTGCAGGTGGACATGGCTCACAACTCAAATGGAATGGAGATGGGCATTGTTGGTGGCGAGTTTGCCGCCGAGGGGGAGCACCCTGCTCATGAGCAGCCGCCGCAGCCGCTGGCCGTGCGGCTGCTCAGGCAGCCACAGCTGCACCTCCTAGCAGCCTTCTTCGGGATGGTTCTGGGCCTGGAGTTCGGGCTGCACCTCACCGACGCGTGCAGCCTTGATGGGGCCGCAGCCCCAGCTGCAGCCGGCGCCGGCGAGCTGGGTCCAGCCCCCCTATGGCTGCTGGTGTGTGGCGGCAGCGGCGCGGGGGCAGCAGAGCTCACGTTTGTTGTGCTCCTGCTAACCTACATGCCTGGCATCGTGCGGCCAGGGATGCTGCGCCGTTGCTTTGCCTCGGCGCTGTTCGTGCTGCTGCAAGCGGCCAGGCACGCTGGCTGCGCTGCATACTGCGGCCTCAAAGCCTGGGTGCTGCTCGTTTATGTTGCCGAGTTTCTGCTGGCAGGCAAGTGGCAGGGAAGTGGCATGCATGCTTGGTCTGCACGTACCTGCATCTGGATGCTGGCTGCAGGCCAACCATGACACGCTGTGTTGATGCCAGTGCAGGCATGGCATCCTGGTGGGCGGCAGAGTTCCTGGCTGCAGCAGCAGCCGGTGGGTTCTGGGGCATCACCCTGGTGCTGACGCTCACGCCGTTTGACGGCAATGAGTGGCTGGCGGCGGGCGTGATTGTGGCAGGCGCGGGGCTGTCCTGGAGCATTTGGCTCTCCAACGGCACCGTCGATGCGGTGGCTGCACTGGGGTCGGCGCTGCTCGGTGAGTGCGCCGGCGTTTTGCCGCCGCCGTCTGCCAGTGGACGTGGGTCCCATGCGTCAGCCTGCGCTGCCACCCACCCAGTGCTGCCGCGCAGGCTCCCTCACCCCTTGTGCAAACGCTCTGCTGCAGGCGAGGTATGGTCTGGCCTAGACCGTGTGTTCAGGATGGAGCGGCAAGCCGCTTCCCAGCCAGCCACACCGCCCTCTCCACCGCTGGACCACCAGCAGCCCTGAGGGCAGGCAGTGCAGCCTGCGCTTCGCTTCGCTGGAACCCGCGCTTCTCCACTCCTGACTAGCTCGTTCTGACGGATGCCTTCAGACACGCTGCATGGTTTCCTGCTGCCATCCATACGCTCCATTCCTAGGATCATCGCCAATCTTGACATTTCAACAGCATAAGGGGCAGCCTGGGGCATTATGGAAAACAATCACTAGTAGCGTATCACGCGTTGCTCATGCCGGCAGGTTAGGTTGTTAGGTCAGACAGGTCTTGGAGGAGGAAGATATCAGGCAGAGAGAGTCTTGAGGCAAGGGAATGGACTGAGAGCGACTGGGCGAGCTCGAGGTCGTCGCTATGCTTCTGAACGGCTGGCTGGTTAGGCTAGCCAGACACATGCAGGGGGTGCGTGTGCGCTGGCACTGATACGTCTGCAACATGGCCAAACACATGC